ATTTGTTCAGAAACGTCCACAACGAATCAGTCAATTCTGCAGTAGCACTTTGTTATAAGAAAAAAAAATAACCTTTTTTTTCCTGGCCTTTGTACAGATAGGCTGTAGCATGTGGTTTTACATAGAGATTTTATACTTATAATTAAAACTTTAGTTACCCGTATTTATATTGTTAAATAATTGGATGTTTGCTATTCTGAAACTGTTAGAGCTCATCAATAACTATGTGCAAGCAATACTGGTTGGAAAAAGGGTTGAACTTTTGCTGTGTGTCATATGTTGGGGAAATCTGTTTTGGAATGTGATTAAGGAAAGTGGCATCTCTGTATAAAATGGGTAGTTATTACAGTCAGGAAAGGAAAGTGCTTCAGAACAATCCCCTATTTTCAGGGGTGTAAAATTCTACTTTAAACACTTAGTCTGCAGTTCAAATTCTGAACACAGTAGCATGTACTTTTCTTTTTAACTTCTGAGAAAAATATTGCCACTGCCTTTGTTTACCTGTAAGTGCTCTACAGCTTTTTTTTTTCCCCCATTAATGTTCTTTCTTAATGGTTCTCTAATATTGCTGCTTCTGTTTTGGGACCTTTAAAACACTCGGAATAGCAGAACTGCAGAATTATGCGGAAAATTCCATTTATGACCTATTTTAAAGTCCACTGAAACTGAAGTCTTTCACCAAGAAAAACCTGAATCTGCTTCAGCCACCCTGTCTTAACACCACGGCGTAACTGTCAAGAAATTCACATGGTCAGCAAAAAGCCTTAAGGGATGTCCTCAGGGTAGTTTGGGTGTTAGAGACAATCACAAGCAGCAGAGAAGCTCAGTTGCAAACTAAACATTGAATGCCTGTTTTGCTTTCTGTTTTGGAAACGTTTAAGTTGAATATCTCAGTGTTGCATTAGGCCTTCTGTTCTGAGGTTTGTGTCAAACAGATGAAATACAATTCTGCACTAAAGGAACTGGACTCATAGCATGCTTATGCCTATTAAAAACATCCTCAACAGTCTGCCCTTTAATTCATGTACATTTATTCTTCACTAGTTGTGACCATGGAGTTCTTTTCAGTTTTGCAATACTGGGATTGAGTTACAGCTTGGAGTTAAGGTTGGAAATGCACTGCTGCATCTTCAGACACTTTTGTCATCTGCTGATTTTATTATCAACACTGTACAAGATTTATTGACCTCCCTCAGCTTCAGTGCTTTCAAAGGTTCTTGCATTTTCTTAATGACTTTTGACACTGTTTCTTCTCAAAAAGCTTTAGAATAAAATAGAAAAATCTGCAGGGTCAGGACAGGGAAAGATTTCTGCTGATTTCTCACTTCCCGTTCCCCAGGATGCATACAAGCTGTGTGCAGTTGCTGGGTTTGCAGTCAGATGACATCCTTTCTTCCTCCTAGAAGCAAATACTATGTAAAATGAAATTTCTGTTCATATTTTCTCCTCTTACTGCCTTTATGTTGTTTCTGTGGCATAACATCTCCTCTGCATGTACATAACTTGGAAGACAGATATTGAACAGAGCAGATGTTTCCAAAGGGGAGCAGGATCAACACTCAGTTCCCTCAGCTGAGATTTTGCTGTGTAAATTGGGTTACTTGCTGCAATGCTTTCATCCCTGGGGTTTTAGTCCCAGGGTGTGAGCTGCTCTGCCTTGTTTCCTCTACAGGCAAGTGTATGTGGGAATGTTCTGATTGAGAGCACTAAAATGCTTGGTAACCTGTAAAAGCTTGATGCAGGACAGCTGACAGCATCTGTCTCAACAGCTCTGGCTGCTCCTGCTTTCAACCTCCAACTGCTGCCAACAGGCCCTAGTAGTGTGTTGTGAGATGTGCATTGAAGCAGCTAAATCTTTAGGTAAAAAACAAGCCTTAAATCTCAGTTTAGGAAGCCCAGAGCTGCTGTACAGCCTTGCCTAGGCTGGAGTCTGAGTCAGAGGGATCTTTGGCCAGGTGAGGTCATTCCTTGTAGCTGCCAAATGATGTGAGACTCGTGAGGAGACTCCAAAGCCTGAGCAAGAGCTCCTTCCTTCCGGACACTGCAGCACGTGGCTGATAGGGAAGGAGCTCCAGTGCAGGATTCCCTCCCTGCCTGTGTCCTTCCTTCCTTCCCCACCCCAGGGCATCTGGGGAAATGTAGTAGAGTTGTCCTCCAGGCCTGGGGTTAACCCAGGGACACAGTTCCAGCAAGGGAAAGGCTTTGATTTCAGTGTTTCCTAACATGGGAGTGGCTGGTGCGTTTTTTTAAACTACATTAAAAGGACCTAGAAGCCTCACTGATATTTCTACATGTCGAGATGACAAGCTGAGTAGGTGGGGCACAGCTAGCACATTGTGCAGTACTGAGACTTAGGTTTTCCTTGGAGCTGGAAGCTTCCCTGTATTGTCATTTACCACACCTTAAACTGGTTCCACCACTAATGCAGTGTCACTTAGCACAAGGGCTAGCACTAAGGCAGGAGACAGACCTGCCTTGGGCTGGTGTGTTGTCATCTGTTGCAGATTACAGAGGGAAAGGTTTTACTGTAGGTCCCTCAAAAATGATGCTTTACTGCTTGTCCCAGTCTTGTTCCCCTCACTTGTACCTCTGGATTACCACACATCTGCTGCTGGCAGTTCTAGTCTCAGTGACTTTAGCTCAAGACCAAGGATTCCAGAGCTGCCTTAGTGATGTATTTTCCCTGCCCTGATCTGGGAAGCAGCTGAATCATCCAGACTGACAATTTAAAGGGCAGGCGCCTGCCCTCCTCTTCTGGAAAATTCTGGTTAGGGCAATAGAAACATTTATGAGAATGGGGGAAAGAGGTATTTAATAACCCTGAGGGACCTGTGTTTAATATGGCAAATTTCAACTCAAGAATTCAGTAAGAAGCTGGTAGGGTTTGAGAATGGGCAGCTGTAATAACAGACACGATTACCAGACCTTTTCCAGAACCCTTACTCACAGAGCTGTAATGACATCAATTTGCTTAAAACATCCAAGTGTGGTGCCAGTGAATTTATAGCTTGTCTAGTTACCATGACGATTCAAAGTTCACCAATATATTATCTTCAATTCGTTGGCTCTGCTCTACACTTAGGTTTTGGGTTTTTTTCCCTTTGTTCCCATTGTGGTTCATGTAACTAGCATTTACTTTAGCCATTCTTAAATTCTGTTTAAAAAAGGAGTGAGGAGAGGTGCAGGTAGAGCCAATTGATGTTTACTGAGAGTGGAATCAGACCCCATCTGCATTTGCCTGTGGTATGTGACTGGAATAGGATTAATAGGGAAAAGGGAGGTGAGAGAATTTAACTGTAGGATGTTAGCTGTGCCTCCACTGTTACAGATTTGGAAGGAGACAAACACTCCACTGGGAGAGGCAGGCTGAGGCTTAAGCCACCTGACCCTGTGGTATCTAAGGAGAAAGAGCAGGACAAACCTCCTTGTCCCCAGTGTCCTCCCAGCTCAGGAGAGCTGAGACTCAGGTGTGTCTTGCCATCTTGTATCTCCTTTTGGCTGCTGTCATATATAGAAACACGGAATAGAAACGCAGTGGTTTGGGTTGGAAGGGACCTTAAAGATCATCTAGTTCCAAGCCCTGGCCATGGGCAGATGACATTTGGCTCAGAACTTTTGGCCTGACAGTACAATTATGCTGTTGACCCTGGTGGGGTTTTGCTGTGTACTTCAGAACGTGATCAACAGAGGCAAAGCTTAAGTGAGCCCTGTTGAGTTCAGTAGGTGTAAACAATCATTTACCTTTAAAAATTCACTACAGTCTTCCAGCGGAGTGGTGCAAACTCTTTGCTGCTCTTAGTTTTGGCAACTTACAGACAGTATCCATGTGGTGTTCCTGGACCAGCCTTACAGCATGCTCCCCTCACATTACAGATCTTAGGATGCACTGCTGCTCCTCTTCCCTCCTCTGACCTTT